GATACAAGACAAACTCAAACTCACTTAACTTTCGATGTGGGATTTTAAGATTTAAGGCAAATCTCAACAAATCCTTTCTTGACTTAAATCTCCAAATACTTCAACAGTATCTGCAAAGCTAACACGCTTATCTTTTTCTTTTCTTTCATCATAGGGATCCCAGCAATTGAGCTTTCATCAAGCATGTACAAGTGATTTTTGACCCTATTCCCTTATAGAATCACACTACCATTCTTGTACACTTTCAACCAATCATTACTATCATAATATATGTACCCTCGAGAGTATGTGTACCCTCAGAAGCTAACTCACCCAAAGTAATCAAATTGTAGTGATAACTTAGTACATACCTTATATGATGAAATGTCCTAATAACACTATTGTGATATCTAAGGCGAGCACTTCCAATGCCTTGAATCTGCACCTTTTCTTTGCTAGCAACCATAATATCTCCATACTTTTCATTCTCATCCAACTCCACAAAGTAACTCCTATCATTGTAAATATGAACTGTAGCAGCTGAATCTAAAATCCAACCTTTATCACTTTTCAAAGTCTGAGTCTCATCAACACAAGTTGTCAAAACAACGTCATCATCATCGACACGACAATAGCAATATCACTCTTTTCTTCATCTGATTTTTTTTCATCATTCACCCTTTTAAAAGTAACCATATCCTTTCTCAGCTTCCTGCAGCGCACTTGAATATATCCTTTCTCACCACAATAATAACATTCTATATCATTGTAATCTCTGTCTCTTGGCTTGGATCTCCCTCTTAATCCATCAATCCTCTTTTGAGTCTTTCCTCGATCAAAACCCTCTACAACTAGTGTACTCCCCCTAGGTGATGAGTTCTGAGCTCCCATAAACCTTTCATTCTCACGCAACAGGACAGTCACATCATCCAACTTTAAAGTAGACCTACCCACCACACAGTCTGAACTAAAGGCCTATAAAACTTGGGCAAAGATGACAACAAAATTAAAGCCTTCTCTTCATCTTTTAACTCATCAACAGAAATCGCTAGCAATTGAAAAACCAATCTATTAAACTCATTCAGGTGATTATGAAGACTCATACCTTTTTTCATCTTTAGAAAATACAAATTCATCTTCAAACATAATCTATTAGTTAACGACTTCAAAGCATAAATACCTTCAAGCGTATCCTATAAACTTTTTGGAGTACTCTCAGTCAACACACTGTACTTTACTTCTGCAGCTAACGCTAATCTAATAGTACTAACAGCATTCTTCTGAATCGTATTCCAATTAGCATCAGACATTTATTTAGGCTTACTACTCTCTAATACCTTATCCAACCCTTATTGTACCAACAGATATTGAATTGTACTTTGTCATAATATAAAATTACTCTTTTCATCAAATAATGGAATCTCAAACTTAGGCATAGGCATACCAGACATACCTTCTTCAGACATCTTCAAACACTGCTTCACGATCTCTTAGGTCCACGAACCTTAAACCTTGAACCTTGCCTGATACCACTTGTTGGGAAAAACAACACCCACACGCAGTAATCATACATAAACCAGCAAGCTCAAATCAAGAATAAGAATACACAAATATATTTGGTTCGGCTCAACTCAAAATGGCCTACTCCAAACCTAATCCACTATCAAATAAATCTTTACAATTGTGAGATTTTTAGAATGAAAGAGTCTCATAAAACTCTTTACTCAAAACTTAACCTAAAACTTAATTACACCCTTTTAATAGCCTACTCATTTAGCTATTCTCTTGATGTCTAACTCTCTGGGATTACTAAACTAAAAACAAAACATCATATTTATAAATATGAAACCCCTTATACTTTTACTAAACTCCCGATGTAGGATACAAGATAAACTCAAACTCACTTAACTTTCGATGTGAGATTCTGAGATTCAAGGCAAATCCCAACATTAGTTACCCAAAAATGTTACTGGATACATGGCCGGGTCCTTGATTTAGAAGCAGACAATATGCCTGGTGAGAATGTTTCTGAGAAGAAGAAGAAGAAGAAGAAGAAGAAGAAGAAGAAGAAGAAGAAGAAAAAGAAAAAAAAAAAAAAGAGTGCCAAGGAGAATCAAGTGGGTGCAAATGCTCAGTAGTTTCACAAAGTGGAGATAAGGAGACTTCCACTTTGAAGTCTGAAAAGAAGCAAACTGCTGGTAAACCTTCTCAAGTGAGAACCTTTCCAAATGGATTGGTCATTGAGGAGTTAGCAATGGGCCAACCAGACTGTAGAAGAGCATCTCGTGGGAAGCAAGTAATTCCTTCTCCATTAAGTTTTCAATTGGTCAAATTTCCTCCACCGAAGAAAAATAACATTAGTTCTTTTTTCTATTTTTCTGCAATCATGAATGCTTTAATCATATTTCGGATATTTGCTGAAGGGAACAGGTAGGAGATTGCCTTAAAAGATAATAGAGCCTGTATAAATCTGATACAGACCTCAATTATTCATGCGATGTGATCCTGAATTATGTTTGATGCCAGGATCATGTATATTATTATGCACACATCTTATTGATAGGATTTAATTGGAGATTCTTAACCAAGTCAGTTGTTTTGGTTCAGGTTAGTGTCCACTAAATTGGGAAGCTCAAGAAGGATGGCAAAATATTTGATTCCAACATGGGAAGGGCGCCCTTTAAATTTCGCCTAGGTACTATGACGTTAAGACTTATGAAATACCAAGACTTTGATTGTTTTTGGAGGGAAAATTTTGATTCGTTAATTACATATAATTATTTTGTTTTGGTTTTATAGGTGAAGGTAATTTCATTTAAATTGTTAACAATTTATTGAATTCTGGTTATCCTTATTCTCTTAATTCATTTGGAAGCATTTATATATTTCTGGAATGTATATTGACTTCAGGCATGCGTATTGGGGATAAAAGAAAACTCATAATTCCACTATCAGTGAGGTATGCAATACTTTATTTCTTAATTACTCACATTATCCTTTGATAAATTAGGTTGTATGCCTTTCTTGTAACTGGCAATCTTGAACTTGTTTATATGCTTTTTTTTTTTTTTTTTTGCAGTTATGGTTCCAAGGGTGCTAGTGGCAGGATACCTCCGAATTCATGGCTTGAGTTTGATGTTGAGTTGGTTGGAGTTTGCTGATTAGCCTGCTCTTTTTCATACCCCTCAAGCTATGAAAAAGCTTTTCACTGCTTGAGTGATCAGGAGCCAAAAAAGAAACAATGACGAACCATCTTAATTGTCTTGTAAATTTAGTATGTCTAAATTGAGTTTGTATGACTATGAGGGAAGGTAGTTAGGACAAGCTTTTGCAGAAAGGGTGATTTGTTTTTGCTGAATGAGATGCAAATAGGGAATTTTGTATGGGACGTTTTTTCATTGCGAAATCTAACCGTATAAAATGACATTATTGGTTGTAACCCTAATGCTATGTTTAGTAAGGACGGTTCCTTGTATCGCAATAAGCTTCATATGGTGGCTTCTGCGGAAGTCATGCGTCTTTGCCTCATGGTAGTTTTGGGCGGCTTTACTTTCCCACTTTATGGAGTAATGCTTTTAAAAAACTTGTTTAACTTGTCAATCTTCACAATTGCATTGTGATGCTTTGGCGTTTCTCTGCCTTGGTTATTTATTTATTTATTTGTTTTACTTGAGGCACTAATATTTGGATCTAATCATTGGAATTAAAGTCAAACAATAATGAAAGATGAATGTATAGGATGATGGATAAAACACGATGATGATTATTTTGTATTATATTTGATTTTTATCTAAACAAAAAAAATATTATAAAAAATATTAATCATACTCATGACATCTCAAAATAAAAAGGATTATTTTTAATCAATAGATTAAACTTACATATTTTTTTATATCTATCCTAATTGTTACATATATTAAATATAAGATATGATAATATTATTTTATTTTATTTATAATATCATCTTATCTTATTCTATTCATTTATGTATTTTCAAATAAACAATTAATTATGCTTTGATTGGATATTGGGGTAGTTTCAAATAATTAATTATGCTTTGATGCATATGCTTTTGAGCATGCATGACGCCCATGTGTTATTTATAGGCATAAATCATAAGTCAAAACCCTAGTTCTTCCATCCTCATTTTTTTTTAATTTGGATTTTTAATCAAAATAAAAAGAATATTATTTTCAATAAGAGTATTATATGAAAGGCAATTCTTATGGAAATATTTTTTGCAATTAAAATTTTAAATTCAATCTTTGAATTATGCATTTTATAAGTTGAAAAGGAAAAGGATTAATTGACTTGAGGATTTAATTTGATTTATTTTTTACAATGACATAGATTAAATATCACAATAATATCTAGTCTTTCAATATAAAATATTTATTTTTCAAAAAAATTAACTGCTTAATTTGCATTGTATTTTTTCCTACCATGTCATATAAATTCCATTAAGTTAGCTTAGTCAAGCAAATATAAATTATAAGTAATTAATATTGATTGCTCAAAAATAAATAATGGAAGTAAATTAAGTTAATTATTTTTAAATATCTAAAATTTTATATATAGATAATTTTGTAAATTTTAGAAAAACTATAAACAATTTTGTCCATAGATAATCATTGGTATAATTTTTTAAAATAATTACATTTTGTACATGCCTTAAGATATGCCCCCCTTTTTAATTTTTAAAAATATAAGATGATAAATTATTATATTTGATTTTTTGTACAAATTATTTTAAATTATAAATCTTTCAAAGAAAATAATTAAATAAACAAAATAAAGAAAGATAAAAAATGCTTAAAAAATTTTATAATTTTTTATTATTGCCACTTTGAACATTGGATTCACTATAATTATAGATAATTTAAAATGTATGGTGAAGTAAACAAATTTAAAGAAAAAATAGCAAAAAATTATCTTATCTTTTAGGTTGAAATTAATTTTGGGTCGTTTATAAAATCTAGGTCTGTCCAAGAGCAACTGGGCCGTAAAAAGTGGTTTTGTGAATCATGGCAACAATCCATTCTTTTCCTCTTCATTTTGTTTTCTTTCGGTTTTTTAGTCCAAAACCCACGAACCAAAAGCCTAAAACCCGACTCTGAAAAGGAGGCACCATTTAACTCTCTTCCCCTGAAAACCCTAGAGTCAGGAATCACTTTATTTATTAGATTTGTGAGATTATTTAGCAGGGTTTTGCTGAGGTTTTGAGAGCCGGCAACAGGTATTTTCTTTTCAAATATACTTGGTTTTCCTCTTTTGCTGTTTCCAATTCTTGGAGTATGAAACGATTTTACTTTAGATGTCTGAAAAACAAAAATACAAGCGCACATATTGATATCACATATCAGGTTTTGAAGTTTGGTTTAGTCTTGCGCTCTTACTCATGTTTATGGGCTGTGGTACCCTTTCTCTGTCTGATTGTTTGTTTTTGGAAGCTATTTTGATGTCCTGTACTTTGCTTTGCTGCGAATATCTTTTACACCTGGTTAACAGGAACTTTATACTTCAATCTGTATTTTCTCTCCTTGAAGAAGGAATATGGAGTTTGATCTGCTATTTTCTTTTCCTCGTCGTTCATGATTTTGATTGCTTTATGTGGGGGATAAAACATAGTGTGAAAAAATTATCCAATCCTATTTGCATCCTATCAACCTTTTGAATTTCCCCCCTTTCTGATGGTAGATTTTACGCAATGGGGCTGCGAGGTAAAGAATCAACCTTAGTAGCTGAGAATGCAGTGGAGGATGATGATGATGTAATGGATGATCTTAGTGGGCAAGAGTCTGAATCCGGGTCAGAATCAGAAGAGGAGGATGTGAAGTTGGCTGAGCCTTCTAAGAACCCTATATACAACAGAGATGGCCTTATTGAGAAACTTCAAGATATCAGCTGGCCGGAAAATGTTGAATGGATGCACAAGCTTTCCCTTGATATCGATCAAGAGAAAGAGGTGGATGTGAATGATGACCTGGCAAGAGAGCTCGCTTTCTATACACAGGCATTAGAGGGGACAAGGTTGGCGTTTGAGAAGTTTCAGTCAATGGGGCTACCTTTCCTTCGGCCACCTGATTATTATGCAGAGATGGTTAAGACAGATGTCCACATGCAGAAGGTGAAGGGCAGGCTTTTGGCGCAGAAGAGACAGATTGAAGAGGCTGAGGAGAGACGGAAGGCTAGAGAGGCCAAGAGAATTGCTAAAGAGGTTCAAGCTGAGAAGTTGAAAGAAAGAGCTAAGCAGAAAAAACAAGAGATTGAGGAAGTTAAGAAGTGGAGGAAGCAGAGGCAGCAGAGTGGCTTTCCTGCAGGTGGCAAAGATAGCGAGCTGGACTTGGGTTTTGAAGATGGTAAAGCATTTGAGAGGTCAAGCAAGAAAAGGCCAGGGGTGTCTCCAGGGGATCGCTCTGGAGGGAAAGCAAAGCAAGGTGGTGGAAAGGGTAAGAATATGAAAAAAAGGGAGTCCAGGAATTCTAAGTTTGGATTTGGAGGGAGGAAAGGTTTGAAGAAGCAGAACACTGCCGAAACCACAAATGATATTAGAGGCTTCAATAAAGGCGGTGTTGCAGGAAACAAGAAAAGGAAAAAGTGATACAGCTAAAGGACCTGTTCTCACTTCTTTAGGGCTCTCTTTTATCTAAACTTTAAGCTGTTGTTTCATCTTTAAGTGTCTTTTTGATTTTCTGTTTCAGTAATGGTAGTTTGAAGTCGTGATATTAGTCGGTATTTTTCTGGTTGAACTTACAAAGTAAATCATCCAATTTACATAACCTACTTAAAAACTCGAAATGGTGAACCTTGAGCATCAATTGGCAATGAACCTATCAATTGATGCTTGATCCAGCCTTTCATTTCACATTAGAAAAAAAAATGACATCGGAGGCATATGAATTGCCTCATGTTAAGTTCAGCCAATTGCCAATTCTGCTCAGGCCTCAGATACGAACTCAACAGCTGGATTTTGCAATTTTCTTGCCTCAAGTAATCCCAAGTTTTTCCAAAGAAAAATGCCAATGTAATTCCGGAAAGGAAACAAAAAAATACCAATAATGCAAGGTAGTAGGTGCTTCATTGTACTCCTCCGATTCTGAATTCCATTCTGCCACGCCTCATTATAAATAACTTATAAATTATAATAAAATATTTAATATAATATTTTAATTTTTAAGAGTTTTTAATATGATATTTGAATTATAAATTTATTAATTAATTAATGTAACAATCATATTTAACATGATTAATTTTGAATTATAAAATATAACAAAATAATAATTTTACAAGCATGATATTAATTAATAAATTTATAATTCAAATATCATATTAAAAATTTTTAAATTTTAAATATTATATTAATATTTTAATATAATTTTAAGAGTTATTTCATAACATTAACCTTAAATTTTTTTTCATGTGCTTAATTTGTACAATATATTGGAATTTTGAGCCCAACATACTCAATTAACATGATTATTAATATAGAAAGTCAAAAAGTTTAGAATGAAACATCAATTATGAACAGGAGAAAATTCATTGTGATATGCATCCCTTGCTTGCCTTCCTCGTTCTTCTCTTTCTCATCTTATTTCTCATTCATCGAAAACAACAAAAAGTTTCAACTACACTTGCTTCTTAGTGTTTTGAACCAGAAATTACTTCAGGCCAAGGCTAAGCTATTGACGAAACAAAAGAATACGGAAGACGGAGAAAGTTCCGTTGCATGTGCAAGTCCTTATGCTCCGTAAGGTTATATATTAGAATTTGGGATTATTATTAAAATGAAGGCAAGCCCCACTTTGTACTTATCTAAAATTAAATTCAGTAAATCATGTTTTATTGTGTTTATTTTATGTTAAATATATATAACTATAAAAATTATTATATTATGATTAATATATATATAATATTAAATATAATTTTTATTTTTATTAAATTAATATATTATTTTTATTAAAATTTTAAATTATATTATTTTTTTATTATAATATTATATTATATTTAAAATTATAAAATCTACCTAAAATTACCCTTAGATAAATGATTTTTTTAGTAAAATAACCCATTAATCATGAAACAAAATCATTATATAATTTGTCACTTCTGTTTAAATTATAGCTTTCACTCAACGCTTTCAGCTACAAAAGCTTCTCATCCACTCTTTTCTTCAACTGTGCAGAGGGATATAAATAGCCTTTAATCAAACTCCCAGCATTGCCAGCATACTCTGATTAATTTTGCTATTCTCCTCACTTCATTTTCTTCATTTCTTGTTTTTGCAACCATGATTGACTCTACATTGGATTTGATCAGCCAAGCTGTTTCCAACAATCTTTATGTTTTCTGTCTCTTCAATTTGATCATCGTCATGATCCTCATGGGTTCAAAGCATGGTTCCAGCTTGGACCAAGATTTTGAAATTCCTCTCTCAGCACCTACATATGATAAGCAATCAATCAGCGTAAGTGAACAAGTGAAGAATGCAAACAGATTGTGGAGTGCCTATGAGACAGCTAAGGATGACAACAAAGGGAACAGAAATGGTTTTGATGCCAACAATACCGAGGATGCGGATGAAGATGATGATGAGCTAAGGAGAAGAGTGGAAGAATTTATTGCCAAGGTCAACAGAGAATGGAGAGCAGAAAAGTTAGGGCTGTCTTTTTCAGCTTAGGCGTACATCTGAATCAAGGCTGCCAAAGCCTTCTGTTCGATATACATAAATACTATGAAAATTTCCAGTTTTCTTCTGGTGGTCATGACTGAGTCTTCTTTTTAGTGATGGGTCATGGTTAGGATAAAGCGGTCTTTTGAACTGTTCTTAATCCTAATTCAATCAAATGATAAAATATCCAGATTGATAATGGGGACTTTGTTATCTTGATGCTGTGAGTTGATGAGCCCTAGATTTTTTTTCTTTTCTCTTTTGTGGAACATAATCTTCTGCGAGCATTGACGTAGTTAGGTTGTCCTTAGGAGTTACTAGTAAGTTTTTTTTTATATATATATAATTTAAAGGCAAAGAATATTTGGGTTTTATTTTGTATTTTTTTTTATCAGTTTAAGTAAATTTATTTTTATCAAATCTAATGAATTCATCTTCACAATTTTTCAATGAATTCAAATCTAAATAATAAAGAAACAAATAAATTTACTAGTTAGCGTTTCAGAGACAAGGAATGCCCAACTAAGGCCCGCTTTGTAAATATCTATGAAACTAGTGACAAAACTGATGACTACTGGAGTTGGCTTAGTAATTAGGAAAAGGTTTTAAAATTTTGAAGTTTAATTCAAATCTTATGAAACTTGTGACAAAATTATAGCCTATTCTTAGGTTTAATAATAAGAAAAAATTTTTGAAAATTTGAAGTTTAATTCAAATTTTTTGTGTCTATAATCCAACCTTATGCTGGATTTAAAATTGTCTTTGACTTACTGATAAGAAGAAAACACAAAAACTGTGAGATTCCAAATTTAAGTTCAATAAATTTGATATAATTTTATATTCAATTTACATTGATTGATTTGTTTTATTTAATTAAATAATTTCAGATATGGATATAATATTTTATTACGAATATAACTTCTCTTGCAATTATACACTTTGTTTAAAAAAAAAACTAGGATGCAGGCAATGTAACACGTCATTATTTAATTAGGCATCTATAGTTTCAACAAGCCATAATCAAAACATGCATTTAAACTTCAGATCATTTGGATACATGGAGATTGATCAGGAGAATGGCAAACCACGTTTCAATCATTCATAAAATTTTACTCCAATGAGTAAGAAAACACATGAAAATACACCATACATCATAACAACGGCCGAATACTGATACTAACAATTAGAAATCCTACCTAAACCTAACAAGGCAGCACAATTATGGGTTAAAACCATCATGACGTTAAACATTCTTTTTCCTTGGTACGAAGCCCATAAGAGCTTCTATTGGTCTTGTACGAGGTTGACTTAAGAGCCCAGCTTCCTCACAATTAGAAATCATTATATCCGAAATGATGATGAACCAGTTTCCAGCATGCAGATACTATCAACTGGAAACATCACACTGTGATAGACTATGGCCCTTCGGCTCCTCTCCAGCTGAAGATGATTTATTGTCAATATCAGAATTTCTAAAGCCCTGGATAGGGTTCAAAGTACCTGAACTGTCTCCACGGAATGATGGAGAGGTGAGAATTGGCTTCACTCCACCATAGGACACCTTAATTTCTTCTGAAGGCATTGTATGCACAGCCGTAGGGCTCACAACAGTGGCTACAGGTTCTGTTCTCTGTTTCTTGTGCTTCTGCTCCTGCTGGTGACCTGGTAGGAAACTGCCCACAACAACCTGTTCAATCAAAACGATTGAGAAAGAAGGCATTAGACTATGACAGTGATCCTTGTACATATTGCTAGACTGTCCATTGCCAGGTGGCAGCCTTCTATGTGCTTTACAATGATATTTAACCATTGAGGGTTTTTTTATAGGAACCATTGTTATGATATCATCAAAAGCATATGAAAACCTTACGTGGAAAATTTGAAGTTTTTAACTACCCTCAACTTCTTTATTCCTTACCCTTTAAATTTTTTTTATTAATATCTTTTATAGGATATGGTTTTACCTGCACAGGACCAGCAGCTACCAACAGACCAGCAAGTCCCCCTCCTAGAACACGACCATCTGGGCCTGCCAAAGAAACACTCATCCCACCAGATCTACTCTTTGTTCCATTATTCTCAGTAGGCATAAATGAACCAGACAAAGAAAGGATCTCAAATCGCCCCTGGATAAAATAATAAGGAAGCTGGATTATTACTTGACAGCTACGAGGAAAAAAAGATACGATTGATAATCACTAACTGTCCAGGTTGGATGCATCCTTGTAATACAAAGGCAAAAGCAAGTTGAGGGAATCAAGATTGAGTCAAGACATGAGTTATTTTTTGGGTTCAACCAAGACACAAAGAAGCCTCATAAGCACAAATATTTTAAAGTGTATCCATGTAAAACTGAGTTCTATGGAGAATGCCACATGTTTTGTGCCCTTCTTGCAGAATTAAGTGATAATAAAAGCTTTAAAGTATATCACATATTGACCTTCAAAAGGAAACTAACACCCGTGCACAAGAGTTGTCCCTCTGCTTCAGAAGTAAATTGGAACCAGCCTTCTTAATTTGCATAGTGGCCTCAACCAAAAAAGGAAGCCTAGTAACTAATATTTCATGCATCCTTACACACTTAAACTCGTAGTAAAGGAGGATGAAGTGACACACCTCATATGTCAGAGTACCACCAGATGAAGTAGGTTGACGAAGGGTAACATTTGAAATAGTGCCATTTGCAGAGAGAATGCATATAGCGCGAGCTCCTTCTTGAGAAAAAGACATCACCTTCATTGTAATATCCTATAACAATAATAAGGAATGAAAGAGATCCAGAAAAACATAAAAAACGAAATAGCTGAAAGGTGTGGGAACAGTCACCTTTAAAAAATAAAAAACTCTCGATCGATTTACTTCTATCATTCACCTCTAACATCACCTCTAACATATATATTAGACATAAAAATTTATTCGGTTCAAATTTTAAAAATCCAATATCACAAAGAAGAAACAGGGCGTGCAATTAACATCCACTAAAACAATACCAAAGATAAAAGAAAAATGGTATGACTTAATGTAACATAGATGTATGACTGTTTTCCTATATTTGCTTGGCAGATATCGATTTATTTATCCCATTGTTTCTACACAAAACATTATAACAAGATTATGTAACTAAGCAGGACAATTATAGAAATTGTGTTGGGAGTTTTTTCTAATGAATTTGTTCCATTCTTGGAACCATAGTCTCTTGAAAGGAAGTCAGGAACTCAGGATGGTAAACTCCAATACAAAGACAGAAAAAAAAAAAGTGAAGATTTAATAGGAAACAGGAGAGAAATGTGCATTGGAAAATACCGATGGAACATTTTTAATCATTATATACCTGTGCAAAAACAACTCCTTTCTTTCATTATGAGAATTCATTTCCTCTATAAAGCCACATGAATTACGGGATGGCAGGCAGAAATAAACAGTTCAGAGAAGGTTTTCTTCTGCTTAAACACAGAAGGAAACACTACACGGTAATAATTGCAAATGCACCTTACTTATTGTGACAAGATATGTTATCAGGGCATACCTCACCAGCATTAACAGTGATTACATGAGGAGTGAAATTTGCCCCCACAAAATATGGGATCCTGTCACCTATAAAAAGCATTTAAATTAGTAAAAAAAATATAGCAGCTGATTTTTTGAAGCATGTTGATCGCATCTCAAAATAAAAAGTTTGTCTTATCAGTAAATAAACAACTTCTTAAAGATTTAAAAAAAAAAAGAAGAAGACAGAGCCATAGCAGAACTTGATGCTCTAGCTGGGTGCCTAAGTAGTAAGTCCAAAGAGAGGATGAGAAAAAATCAGTATCATTGACATCCAAGTTGACTGGCTATTCACCAAAGCACATTACAAGTGTTGCACAATCCCTACCCTGAAGTTAAGCTTCATTATATCCAACCACTCCTTAGCTAACATGGTGGAAGATTGAAGAGGTGTGAGTCAAGTAACTATATACATTAATTATAGTGCTCAACTGTGGATTAGAAACAGTAATTGTAATTCCAGTTGGGATCATCTACCGACTGAGATTGAAAAAAACAATAGAAGTATAGCAGTAGCTGCACCATGGAACCTGACAAATATTCTGCATACTAAGAAAATTAAAATTAGAACTTTGGAAAAGTCAATTCAATGCCCCGAAATATGGTCTTGGGGTTCATGTTTAAGGTCAAATGGTTGTAGGCTTGAAGCTGGACCCTGATTCCAACAAAACAGTCCAAACTTCAAGCCAAGACAAAACTTCCGTAGGGTTTTCTTTACCCTTCAATTTCCCTACTAAACTAGAAATTTCATGCACTGATGCTGATGCACCTCTTCATAATTGTTTCCTTCTGGTGTCCTAATATTATTGAAAATGATGATTTCCACCATTCATTGCCAGTCAGCAAGTCTGCTCAAATTAATTACCAGGTTAAAGAGGTTTGAACTTAATCAGCTCTAATATATCCAATAAGTATATTCCCAGGTCAAGGTGGCACTGGCACCTTGTCTAATATTTTGCTGTCTTGCCCTGTGGAAGTACAGTACTCAGGACAAGAGAGAGATTCTCCTCGTTTTGCAGCATTATCATAAAATCAGCTTATCTTTCAATAACTACCATTAATTCCACATACGGGCTGGAATCAGATTCCTGGTCCCACTCCCATTTCAAACCCCACAAAATCACACCCTCTCTTAACTCCTGAAACCCAAATCAATGAATTATCCATTTCTCCCTCTCTCCAAAGCTCAAAAAATATACCTCTAGCTTTTCATACTACCAACCATTAAAAACGTAAGTTGAAACTCTAACTTTTGTACACAGATTTTCGTTTTTGACTCCCTCCTCCGATCCCGGTATCCAATGTAACAGTAAAAACATCGGTTAAAAACCTCTTACAAGATTCCAAAGCAAACCAAAAAAAAAAGAGACAATTTATTATGAAAATACCTGGCCTGCTCTCGAACTCATACTTATGTGACTTTTTGACCGTGTCAACCCACCGCCCTCTTCCCCGTTTCCAAGGGGAAAACTCTCCCGTCAGTGGAACCGACGACGATATCGGCATCGGTGACAATGCCATTGCCAAAGACCCATCCGGTGCGTACTTCCTTGGTCTGCCTCTTTTTTTCTTCATTTCTGAGCCCACCGGCGGCGAGGCTACACTCGCCGTAGGAGCAGCGTTGGCCTGCGTTGTGGGTCCCGCACATGGGGAGGGGTTTTCCGTTCTGGGTGCCACGTGGTAGCCTTCTGGAGCTTCATCTTTTTTCGCTGTGACCCCGGGCGTTGGTCCCTCTTTGTCCTCCATTCATATATTTTTAGATCAAGAAAAAAAAAAAAAAAAAAACAGTTGTCTAAAACCCTAAATACCCTAAAACCCCTGCAACCTACGCATTAAAGATTCAAACTCTTTTTAAATTTTGAGTGATCAAGAGGTTCAAAAGAGTTAATTTTGAAAATAAATTATAAAAAAAAAAAAATTCAGCTCAGAGTAAAAAAGATACAAGAAAATAGAACGAAATGAAAAAAAAAAAAAAGAAAAAACAATAACTTTGATTAAAAATTCAAAGATAAAAATACCTCAGTTTTATGAGCATGAAATTGGCCTTACTTATTTTGATAAACCCAAATTTGTGGTTTAAATCTTCATCATTTCAGAGAATGCACCGAAATTGAAAATGCTGACAAAATATTCAACCAAAAAAAAATCGAGAATTACAGAGACGAAAATGCAAACTTTTCGGTGCAAGGTACGAATTTGTTTAGGAAACAAGAATTTAGGGTTTTTGCAGGAAAATGAAGAGATATAAATAAAGTAGAAAAAAATTGGAAAAAAATAAAAAATTATAAAAGTGAAAAATATAATAATATGATTTAATATTGTGATTTAATTAATAATTATTATTATATTATTTTAATTGCAAAATTCAAAGTATGTATTTTGGTTAAGAAAACAGTTCACGTCCGTCTTGGAAATTTAATAAAAGTGATTTAATCAATGGCGAAGGTAGAAAATTTTGGGAGCTCAAAAAAATGAAAATTTGGGGAAAAAAAAAGCTTTTCCATTTTAAATTGCAGTTTTTATTAATTATTTAAGGTTTATAAAATAATTTTAAAAGCTGTAAAGCTGAGGCCTGCCATTTTCCAGCTACTGACATCTTCTTTGTCTTTTCAGTTAAACGAAAGTTGACCATACTAAATTAATCCAAATATATTTTATTTTGAGGATTCTACTGTTAATGCCGCTGTGAACGAACGTAACTTTTATGAATAGTTTGCGAACGTCTTCCGTTGTTTCCATTATTAAGTTTAATAAATAATATTTTAAAATTTATTAATTAATCGAATAAATTATAAATTTATTTAAATTTATTTAAATCCCAATATAATAAAAATTTATGAATAATCTGTTAATATACTCGATTTATATTTATTTATTAAATTTAATAAATAATTTCTAATGATATTTTATAATTTATTAATTAAACAAATAAATCATAAAATATCTACTATTACCATAACCTTTTACACCCATGAAAAAGAAAGAGAAAGGTTCGTCTCCCTTATTACCATAACATTTAAACATTAAAAAATTAAAAAAATTAAAAAAACCCTAATGTACAAAAAATGAGGATATTCATTAAACTGTTGATGAATGACAAACATTTATATGCAATGCCTTCTGTACAGTAGGAACGCCAACTCAGTTCGAAATTAACTACCAAAACTTCTTGACTGCTACCGAATATTGATATGTTCAAGAATACCGGAATTTGAAAGCTCGCAAAAGTTAGAAGAATTGTTTCATCATTTTCGTTCACGATCAGGGGCTCGCAACACACACACAGCAGAACAGCAAATTATAATTGACTTTTGCCGTTACAAACTGGAGGAAACAAAGAGAGAAAGAATATTATCAATTTGATTCAGTTTCAACTAAGGTGTCTGAAACATCATACTTGTATCAGTGATGTTAATTGTGTTTTAGACAGCAGAAAAGCAAGCCTCCTTTCCTCAAACGAATGTTCAATCTCTTCAGGAATTTCTTCAACTGGCTTGGAAGGTAATGGTGGAGCTGGTGTCGTGGTTGTCTGCATTGGCACTGACACTGTTGAAGGTGTAGAAGACACCGGGATAGGCATTGCCTTTGGCGTCCTATTCTCTTCGTCGACCAAAGAAATTGTCTTCAAGGGAGTAGTAGTGTAGGTCAGATCATTAGTTTGAAGCATTTTCTGTAAAGTTTCACCATTAACTTCTAGCATGTTTGTCATATTGGCTTTTGATGATACTGTGGAAGAGATGGGCAAGAATGGCTTACGAACCAATGGTGACTCTAGTTCATTAGCATTTACAGCATTGGGAGAGTGATTTCGTACGGGAATTTCAGCAATGGCCAGGCCTTTCCTAACTGCGAGATGGTGAAAGTGTAAGGAGATTGGCTAGTCTGCCCCAAGAAATGCCATGAACAAATTTTAGAAGTATCAAAGTTGCTTCACTAAAATAAATGTTGATTGTTGGTTATCCACGAAATGCCATGAAAGCAGTTGCGATGTTCTTGATTGTAAGCAGAGACAGAGAACTTACCAGCTGAGAAAGCAGGAGTGGCATCATCCTGGCGATGATTTAAATAGTCATTTTGAAACATATGCTCAGTTTTTCTACTAGGACGTGTCAGGGGAGTAGCCTTTGCGGAATGAAGTAAATCGGGTTTATGAGTGGGAAGTATTGCTCCTCCCAAAGAGACTCTTCTATTGTTTGCACTTCCAGTTGAATACTTGGGACCCTTTTTTATGCTTTGTGGCTTTGATGGGCTTGGTTTTGACCCGTAGAGTGCCTCTTGCTCCGCTATTAGCTGTCCCTGAAGTTTCTTCTGGTCCTGGATCACAAAAAGAACAGTGCACGACCATAAGCTCAATTTCAACAAGGAAAACGCCCCATAATCGCATAAAGCCTGGGCCCATAACTTGGTGAATATATGCACTGTGATTGGGGAATCAGTTTAGTATCATACACGCAACCTACGCTGTTCTTGCTCTTTCTCTTGTCGTAGAATAGTATACTCTTCTAGCATAAAAAGCAGAGGAATCTGGATAATGTACAGGGGTCAGTTAAATATCAAAAGTGTAAGCAAATATGGAACATAAAGATTCAAGGGGGTAAGTCATTAGAGTACTCACACCATCATACAAAAATTCAGTCTCTCTCTCCTTTTCCCATGCCATGGTCTTTGAAGCCAACGCCTCCACCATTCCTGCATTAATATGATAGATAAAACAACTCCAGAACTGTGTTAATGATTGGAAGAAACCTCAAAAATTGGGCTGCAAGATGTGAAATCATTACTACAAACCAAGTTTAGTTCTGTGATGTTTTCATTTCTCAACCTTTTATCTAGAATGTACTAAATACCTGGAAGTTTATTAACCAAGGAACGAGCTTTCTCAGCACGCTTGAGTGTAAGATGAGCACCTTTGCCCGCATTATATCGGTTTTCATCCTGTTGAACAGCAGACAATTAACCAAGGAAATTACCCCAGAATAACAAAAAAAAAACTCTGATGAGATAGATGACAAAAGCACCCACCCTGTTATATTCCTCGAGCCAACACTCCTCGTCACATGCCGCCAACCATTTCTCCACCTTTTCAAGTATTTCCTGCCTGCTAAAGGCTTCCTCTTTAACCTTAGCAATTTGAAGTTCGATTTGTTCTAAGATGATAGCAGCATCAACAGCACCTGGATATAGAAAGTAAGAATGACATTCAGTAGGAAAAGGGGTGAAAAAGTTAAATATAACAGATATTATGATGACAATAATATATCATTAGCATGTACCAGACTCGATAGCTTCAATGGCATCTTCTACTGCAGTGTCTGAATCCGGAACCAGGTGCGTCTTTCTACATATCTCCTCTAGCTCTGATCTCTTCTTGAGTACAAGCTCTTTCATTTTGCTCGACTTTAACTCTTCCAACCGAGAAACTTCTGCCCCAACCTGGACAATATATTATATTTATTTCTGTATTGGTCTGAAGTAAAGCAATAACTATTTTTACAAATTTATAGAGCCAAGAGATCAGTTAAACTGGTACTTAAACATGGATCACTTACATAGTTGATAAAATCCATAGATAGAGTGTTGGGTTCAGTAATTTCATGTTCTGAAGCAGCTACATTACAGGTAACATTCTGAAACATCTGTTGCTCCTCAATGGGTGTATCCATCAGATTCCATAACTCCAACATGGTAGTTGCAAGATCTTGTAGCTGCCAAGGGTCAAAGAATCACTATTATAATCAGAGAGAAGGAAGAGGCGGTGGATTTTGCAATATACAAAATACTAAAAATACATTTTTACCCTTTGCATCCTCTGTATCTTAACGTCCCGTAACTTTTTTATTACTGCAGTCAACTGCTCAATTGTATTATTGCTAATACTCCTCAATCCTTCAGAGTCAGCTAAACTAGGATGGACCTCAGTAGCTGTGAGCTTGAAATCCATACCCATCACTGAGCAGAGTGAGTTCAATATATTAAGGTGGTCCTGAACCTGCTTCAGACGATCAATCTGCACAAGAGAGAGACCAGACAGCAAGCAAAAGATAAGCATGAGTTTTCATGAGGTTGGAACAATAAAGGATTGACAAGAAAAAGAAAGTTGACCTTCTCTGACTGAAGTTCATGGAGCTGTCTGTGCAATTCTTCAAGCTTCCTTAAGGACAAGTCAGTTTCATCCACAATTGTTTTGGAGGAAACTGATTCTGTGGATCCATAAATCTCATTTGTGATCATTTGTATTTGATCGATAACTTCTATGAACTGATTTCTTCTTTCGATCTTCCTTTTCCTCATCTCCTCCACTTGTCGAAGAATTTTTGTGAGCTCCTCCTTCAAGCTTCCAACGTTTTGATCTGACTGAAAAAGTTTGAACTATAACTTAAGTAAATAGTTCAATTTAATCGGAAAATTTTCATCCAGGATTTGTTATGTTACCCTTTCATTCTTGACCTGCCTAATATGCACTGGCCTCTCCCCCATTGCTGAACAGATGGCAGCAAGTTCGGCTTCAGAATCAGCAATTGTCTGTCTTAGCTGAGCTCTACAGCGATTTGCCTGATCCACCTTTTTTCTGTACACTTCCAGGCACTCTCGTTCGAGCTCAAGCAGCATTTTATCCCTGTCAGCATCTGTCTCCCCGACCTCATCCCAGATTATCTAATTTTTTCAAGGAATCATGAAAGTGTAAATATTATATTAGTGTTCAAATTTTTAGAATAAAAACAGGGCAGTTCGAAAGGATATTTGAACTGGGAGAATAAAAAGGAGAGAAAAGGGGGAATTATCTTGCCAAGAGAAAGATAAAAAAGAAATTTGAGTTTAAGGTATCTATTGTGTGGAATGTTCCGCAATACCTGAAGTTCGTATAGAAGGGTTCCACAAGTTGTTTCCACTTGAAGAAGTGGATCATTTTGGGACATGTTGAATGGTTCCTGCCAAAACCAATATCTTCAAATCAGAAGTCATCCAAAATTATACACACCATAAAGCAAGCAAGGAGAAAACAAAAGCTGAAGCTCCAAATGGTATATAAAACTGCAAAAGACGGCCAATACCAGTTTAGATCAATTTTACCAGGAAGATTAAGAAGTGAGAACGATGAAACTTCAAAAACAAAATTGCAGTCACTAAGTATATAAGCTGAAGCTTTAAGCTTGCATTGGGACATGAAAATGGTGATACTTATTTTTTCCTGTTTCCAACCACAAAAGTCATACCCTAAAAGCATAACTGCGGAAAATGATAAAGTAACTTTGTTCTGGACTAGTATAAGTTGAAACCTGAGGATCTGTCAAAAAAAGCAGCATCCAAATTCGACATAGTGGTTGTTCTAGACATTGAAAAATGTTGTTATTTTAGGCAAATACGCAGTATACAGGAATCTGGATTTCCATAGTTTTTCTGAATTGAATAAAAAATTAAATTTAAACTAGGAATTGATTACAAATAAAATCTTAGGATAAAATGCCAAAGAAAAGAGAAAATGATCATTTGAAAACTATAAATGGCATTCGATCCATGACATCAGATAACCCTAATTCCATTAAAATCTTACTACAAAAACCAACTGCAAGCTCCCAAGCTTAGACCTAAATTTTTATTGAAAAAAGGTAGTTAGTAATCACCAAAAAATTCAGAAGGAGCTATTACATTAACATAATAAAGTACAAGAATTGGCCTCCATTTTCAAGAAAAATGAAGAACAGTGGATCAAAGCTTTAAGCTCTCCTCTTGTTTTGTCTACATTTTCTCGTCAGCCAAACATAGCAAGAAATTGAAGAAGAAAAAAAAAAGTGGAAAGTTGGAGACAAACCTGAACAAACTGGGATTGAAGCCAACAGTTTTTCCTCTCAAAGGTTTGTTTTTCTTAGAAAGAGTGAAATTTTGCCTTGGAAAATGTAGGGCTTACCCAAAAAAACGCGAGAATTAAGGTTTGAATTTTCGATTTGCAACATAAAGGAGCAAAGTTGGAGAGAAAGAAAGAGAGAGATTGTGTAGGCGTTTATGGAAAAAGGACCGTTGAAGAGCGCTTGCTATGGGTTTGTTTTTAATGGTGATTGTGATTGGATTCGCTAGGAACCAAAACGATTTGAATTTCAAATCCCATGAGGTGGCTGCCCCGAACTCATGTTCCGTTTGCACCGGGTTTATGGCGATGAACCGTTGGATTATTTTATGGCTTCGGAACTAACGGTCAAGATTTATTACATTCGAAAGAGAAGCTGTAGGAGATTCGATCAAGAAAGGAGTTATTAAATTTTATTGCCTGCTGGTGCCAAAACAAATTCCTACGGAGCGGTTTTAAAGGACAGACAAATAGGATTAACCCAATGATCCCATTAAAAATTTTCATACTTTTAATTAATTGTGTAGATTTCGTGATTTAATTATTTGTGTTATTTAAACAGGATACAAATATATGATATAAAGATATGAATTATAGAATTTAATTATATAAAAAGAAAGATAATTTATTTCTTTAAAATTTGAATTTGAAATAATCATTGGTCAATCAGGTATCAAAAGAAGCAACTAGCTGTCAATATATTCCAATCTGCTACAACAGGTAATTTCTTCTCTAAGGAAAAAAAGAATATATGTAAGGGAATATACAAAAGGACTAGCTACCCCTCACTCTAGCCATACATCTTAAAATGAGAAGATTTGGTTACCCTCAAATTCTCTCCTTACAATTTCCAGCACAAGTTCATTCCAGGTATCAACGGGACCTGGCATGCACCAGTGTAAGCAATCTTGAGGTGGAGGCTTTCCATCCGGGCCACGTTTCGTGATCTTATTTGGATCGGGGTTCCGATATGGGCCTGGATGCCCATCATGGCGATACCCAAAGACTTCGGTGATATCCATCAACCTCAACTTGGACTTATTTGTCGCCTTCTTAACAGCACATTCAAAACCCATCACCTGTTTCTTGTGCATGCTATTTGTAAAGCCATTCTCCACTAATTCACCAGCTGCAAGAGGCTTTACCTTTCCGGTGCATGATCCACCTGTATTCCAAGCCCCACCCTCATAATGATCAGGAGAAAAGGAACGTAGAATTGTCAGGCCTGTGTAATTAGGATGTGTAAGAATTGCAGACAGAATTGTTTCAACAGATATTCCAAATGCTTCAATATTATTGACCTTCATAGGACGAGATCGATCCGGCCACCATAATTGTCCTCCCACAATCTCATTGTTCAAGATATAGACAGACTGTTTGGTAAACCAGTGGCCAGAAGAAATGACAATCACATCAAAGTTGGGGATGAATTCCATGAAGTTATTATCAGGAGCATCAAGATGCAGCTTGGTAACACCCTCTGGAGCAAAGTCAAACTTTTCAGATGTTCGATTGACAAGCCAAGAGGACCATATCCGAACAATCATTACAGATGTCGATCTGAAATACCATCTTTGCATTCTTCGGTTTCCTCGATTTTTGGGAACTTCAACCTGAAATTATCCCATAATTTTTTTTCGTGAGAAACCTGTCTGCAATAAAAGAATAAGAAAATAAAAAATGCTACAATATCCTTGGTTGGAAAAATTATGGAACAAACTTTACCAATCACAGATTTTACTGTGGGACTAAGTTTTGTTCAGAAATAACTGGCATTTTAAGAAAGGCAGATACTTTCCTGCCATAGAAGACACAGCATTGATTCCATCTGATTTCGAGCGACAGAATCACCAATGAAAGCAAGTGTCTTTCCTCTCATCAACTGTAGAAACTTCTTGGCATTAAATCTGGGGAGGTCACATTGAGAGGGTTTCCAACGCCAATTCTCATATTCCTTGTCAGGCCTCCCATTACCCTGGCAATTCTGCATCTGTGTTAAGACAGGGCAAGAGTTGTTGGTGTATAATGGCCCTTGCGGATCATAGAACCACTTTCCATGGTACAGGTCACAGCCTAGAGAGCAAACAATCAAAATGAGAATGAGAATCTCGATGAGGAAGTGGAGAGAAAAGGTAAGATGCAAATACATTACGAGGAACACTTGGAAGCGAACATTGTTTCTTACATGGACAAGAGATAGAATAGGGATCAATATAGCTGATAGAATGTATATGGACCTTTATCTCTCTCTTTTTTCTATGTAAATTATCAGATATTTGCAATAGCAGTCTATCAGCAAATGAAGAAAATTACAATTTAATTAAAAAACTACTATCAGATATTTCCAATATAGATTACTTTTTGGAACTTCAACGTTCATATGCATCCTTTCCTGGACATTGCTACATAAAATAGATAATTGACCACAAAACATTTCAATAATCACATTCTGCATTTCTTCCTTCAGCTTGAAGAAACTGTGTACCATATTCTAGGGGATAAAAATGTATGCATGACATAAAACTTGAAACAAACTTTACATTATTCTTGATAATGAACCACGTAACACCAAGCTAACATGTTAGAGACCCAGCATAAACCTTGCGAGAAAACATAACAAACCAGCATCAAGAAGTTCCTATATATTTCCAATAAAAGATGCAGATTCCAGCTCTAGTATAGCAAAAATGATCAAACAACTATGGATGGCAGGTAATACTTTATCCAAAACCAAATGTTATATCAAAACAAATGTAAAAGGAATACTACCAGCATCAACTGAATTGATCTCAGATGCATTGCTAGATGCAGAACTGTTAGTGTCCACCTTATTTTCTGTTGCTCTAGATGACGGTTCTGAAAGCTCTACAGGTTTCGCTGGCATCTCATTATTTTTTGAATCAACTGAATCTTTCGGAGTAGTAGGCAGTTCTACATTAGACTCTGATGGCAACGAATCTTTATCAACAGAAGATCTACTGGATAATTGTGCCTTTTCATTATTATCAACAACAGAAGAACTATTTGAACTCAACGTGGGCACTTCCAAATTTGACCCAGATGATGAATTCTTATGATTGTAATCTACATCTTTATCAGGACTTTGATCAGAGGTAGATGCAAGCAAAACTATTTTCCTATCAACACCATAAAAATACCCTCTAACAGTTGTACCAATCGGATAAGAAACTAGAAGCCAAGAAGCAAAAATCAAGAACATTGCTAGTACTAACACTGAGGCTACAACGGAGGAAAGGCTCCGCGGGAACACAGCCATTTTAGGAGAGCCTTTCAGGGAAGCCAATTTCATGGTTTCCTTATTAGGTAAATTCCTAAAAAGAATTGTGTAATATGGAATCTTCGAAGACCAACCAACTGCCTGCCTATGATTGAAATGTTCCTTTGACGAATCTTCGAATTGTTTGTTTTGAAAAGGACCCACCAACAAAAAGACTTGTAAATTGGTAATTAAATGCATGCGAAACGACTTACAAGCCCAAATCGATCGACTTTTCTTTTCTATACAACAAGGCAGAAAACTTTTCTAAAGGTTATTGAATCTTCTTCCCTGATTGACACTATCCGGTAACTCCTCTTCGCGAATCTCAGAACATCACAATTGCTTGGAAAGGCTTCAATTCCTCCTTCTATCCTGAGAAAGCAAGATAAATCTCACACGTTACAGGAAAACTTTTTTAAAAAAATCTGAAATTCAAGTTTGAACTTACAATGTTGGTAGAACAGAGAGGAGGATTTGGCGATGAAATGGATGACTTTTTTTGGCGCGATTGGAGAGAGAGCGAAATTGGCACGGATAAAGAGAGGGTGATTAAGGGAAAATTCTAGGATCGGTCGAAATGGAATTTTATTTTATTGAGGGTTGTTTAAAATTAAAAAGTGCAAGCATTTTATGCTGCACCTTACTTATCTGGTTCCCTACCAACTCCCTTGATTTTCTCAGCCAGAAAGAAGGTAAAGCTGTTAAATTACCGAAGTGCCCACCGTTCCTGTTTTCGAGCTTTTTTTTTTTTTTTTTTTTTTAATCTCCCAATAGACATTGTTATGATTTGTTAACACTTCCTTTGTTTTACATAAAATTAAAAAAAAAAGTTTAAAAAAGTCTGATTAAGTTTTAATGATAAATGGTAATCTTAATGTTACGGAAATTTATTATTTATTAAGTTTGATGATGAAACTAACTCCTACAAATGTTTAAATTGAGTTATTTCAACTTTATTTCTTTCAAATTAAAATGATGATTTCATGAATTTAAAAAAGTTAATTATATATATGATGATGTTTATTAAAATTATTTTTATTTTTTAATTAGTTTTATTTATTTTATATTCAATTTAAAATCATTAAATTTTAATCATAAATTTAAGTAAAAATGTATTATTAATCATTAAATAAATTATTTATTTAATTAGCATTAATGTATAATTAATTATTTATTTATAATTTTTTTATTATTATGAAATTAAAGTAACATATTGGACGTTAAGGAATTTTGATGATATTTATATCATTGATGTTAAGAGATCATCATTTTTCAAGATATGATATCCATGAGAATTATTTTATTTGGAAATTAAAAATTAATGAAAAAATATTTTTTTAAAATTATTTAAAAAACTTGACTCAAATAAAATTTAAAATTAATTTGACTGTTTTAATATAATTTCGGAGGTTTTTTTATGTAAGTCTGTAAAAGGTAGATTGTATCGACGGTTTGAAGTGGACTGTTCAGTAATTGAAGGGCTTTTGTTTCTCTCGATGGATTTTGTTTGTTTTGGGCGTAGAAGTTGTATACGGTGGCGTGGGGTCCACACGGCAGATGGGTGACAAGTGCAGGTTGAATGAGCTAAAGGCTCGTCATTTAAAACTTCAAAAGTCCCCTAAACCAAAGTGAATTTCTCTGCTTTTTTTGGGTGAAAGCATTAATACCATGAAAATGTTGTATTATTTACATAAATTGAGTGACAAAAAATGTTACGAGAGAAAAAAAAAAAAAGTGATTTTGAGGTTATAAATCATGAGGTTTATGTTTTTTACCTAATAAAACGTACATTTTAAATTAGAAGCTTGAACACATCCGCCAAATGAAGTAAAGCGAGTCTACTCTCAATTAAATTTGATAATTTTAGATATAATATAATAATATAATATAAAAATTATATAATAAAATTATATATAAATTTTATTATGATGTAATTTATGTCGTATATGTGTTAATTAATTTACGTACAGACACAATATGAATAATATATTTAATTTTATTTTATCATATGAGTATACGTTTAATATATTTAATATATTTTTTATATTTATTTTAATTTAATATAACATATAAATATTTTTTAAATTTTTAATCTTTTAATTATAATACTTAATTAGTTATTTAATATTATATAAAAATTATTTTAAACATTTAATTATGATACTCATTTAATAATTATTATAAATTTATTTTTATATTAATAATATAAATACAATATAAATATTAATATTAGTCTTATACATTATTATTTTATTATTTAATCTTTAATAATTTATCATTTTGAATTTGATACTAAAAATTAATATAGTTATATAATATAAATATAAATTAAAATATATATTAAATACATATTAAATAAGTATTAATTTTTTTTATCTTTTTAATATGTAAGTACTTTTTTATATTATTAATATATCAAATATATTAAATTATAAATGATGGATAGTTTATAATTATTTACTATTTTAATTATGTTCTTATATATATTTGTATTAGTTATGATTATTTATATATCCGTATTAATTGTATTTATTCATATATTTATTTTGTATTTAAATGAATTAATTATATACATATTAATTATATCGTATCACATATAACACATATATTAAATATTTTATATTTATATTTTAAATTTAAACATATTTTATAATTTATATTATATTTATATTTTTATAATTCATATTATTATACGTGTAAAATATGACGTAAAAAACAAAAATCATTAAATATACTCTCAATTTTGAATAGTATGGGCCATCAGATGATCTACCCAAACAAAATCAGGGCTTTCAAACACCATCTTGTTCCAGTGGATCATACTAGACTTTGTAGTCTATTACGAGCATCAGCCGCCGAGGCCCTCCAAATCACAAATTTCTTTCCTTTTCAACGGCGCCCCTATCACAAATTTCCAAAACTCACGTCGATTTCCGCAGCTCTACAGCTCTATTTGCCCGCTCCGAGAAAGTGCGTGCTCACTTGTCTCAGCCGAGAGAGTCTGAGACGCCCACTCAAAACCAAATTATTACTACTATCACCAAAAATTCCTGAACAGTTTTCTTTTCTCCTCAAAATCTCCAGTATCATTTTTTTTCTTTTTCCCTTTTAAATGGCTACCCAGAGGCTCTCGTTTCTGCAATTTCTGCAATTTTACTTATTATTGTATTTGGGATAAATTAGAGAATTACCCATTATTTTAAGCACTTTATTTCTTTATTTTCTTTTGCAGGAAACCAGAGCGGGCACCTTCTGAGAAATTCCCAAAGTGAGTTCATACTATCGAATAAATATATGTTCATATACGGTATACGTATGTATATGTTTACGTATTGTACATGCAAATGCACTCCTATATTCGAAGATTTAAGAAAGATTCTATGTTGGATTGATGGTTTGAGTTCATTTGGTGAATAATTGTTTGGAATTGGGTGATTTTGATGGTTAGATGGTCGGCAAGATCGATAAAGTCCTTTGCAATGGCGGAATTGGAGGCAAGGAAGCTCAAGTATCCAAATACCGGAACCGAAGCGCTTCTTAACGGAATTCTGGTCGAGGGTTAGTATTTTCATTGCCAGTTTAGCTCATCGCTTGCTGTTGTGGCGTCAACACACTAATTACTTTAGAAAATACTCTTGTGGACATCTATGATGCCTGTTTTTGTTGTGAACTTGTGGGGAAGATGCAGTTGCGTCATAGTAGCCCTATTTGTTATTGGTTCCCAGAAGAATGTACATAATTCAGAAGGTGAGTTAGTCTTTGTTAAATATACTTGGACTCTATTTTGAATAATTTTAGCAATTATATCCTCAATTTGATTAGCAATGGTAACAAACAAGCATTCTCAGTTTTTGACTAATGAAGTGTTGATATCTAGATTGATATTCCTGTTGTGATATTGTTTTTGTTATCTCTGAGTCATTGCATGATGAATTTGTTATTCTCTAGATGCACACTCATGGGTTCTTTAATTTGTTCTGGATCATCATGGTATGCACTGTCGAACAGAACTTAATGTATAAATAAGTAGCTGCTCTCAATGCCATAGAAGTATGTAAGAGGTGTGAAAATTTTCTGCTTAGGATTGTCAATTTGATATTCTGCTTAAAGTGCAGTAAACCCACTTTATTGTCTGCAAATTTAAAATGAGCTAATATGGGCTAAAAACATGTATTATCTACAAACTTAAAAGATGATTTAATTGCAAGGAAGTCGTACTGTCTCCTGTTTATTCTCTGTGATGTTTGGAAAACTTTTCAAATGTCTGTGTGATACTATTTTTCCTTGTATATGTCTGTAAGGTCTCCTTTTCATGCATAGGAACAAGCTAAGCTGCAAAATTTTTTAGGGCTAATGGAATCACACTTTTCAAGGTGCAAGAGGAAACAGTGAACTTACTCAGAAAGTCAGATATGTATTTTTTCAGCCCTGAACATCCTCCATTAACTGACCACGCTCAAAGGGTCCTTGATTGGGCTGTTGATGAAAAGCTAAAATCAGGTAAAAGAAAATTTCTGACTCTTCATTTGTTATATCTATCATGCCATTCAGAAGTTTAAACAGTGGTTGGGTTGGTATGTCGTTAGCGTAAGGATAGATATGGAAACCTGGTGTCGCATGATAAATGCAAATTAATTACTGTAAAAGGCTGAGCAATATTGTGGTGTGCAGTTGATCTAATTCTTATAGGAGTTTATTTTTCAACTTTCAAAGAAAATTGGTTTAAAAAGGAATTATTTTCAATTGATGGAAGATTAGAAAACTGGTTTGAAAATTAAAACTAATATATAAGTATTAAATTGACAAATCTTGTGCGACTAAGTGGAATATTAGTTACTGCTACTTACATATGGTGGTGGGAATTATAGATCTTGGGCCTCCAGGACTCAGTCTGCCCTTTATTTATTTATTTTTTTGGCCAGTGAAAAGAGTCAGTTTGCCCTTCATAAGGATGGTTTTTGACATTATCAGAAGAAATCACGAGGATGCAATAAAATCTTCAGTTCCCTTTTAAGGAAGTTGCCACGTTTGCATAAATTAATTTTCAAGTTAGAGAATTGACCTGTGCTTCATGCTCAGTAATTTCCTGACAATCTAAGTCTCCAAAGAAAGCAGATTACTATTCTTAAGTGTGACTGTTCTAATGTTAAAATTTAAGGATGGCACTTGAACTCCTGTATCCTTTTTGCATGATGGGTATGACTGGGCTGGCTTATGATAATTTTAAAGTTCATGATGTACATGTTTTAAAAAATTATTTTTTGTTGTTGAGTGCCTTGAATGTGAATATTTGTATTTATATTTATATTTAAATAATAATTATATAAATACAAATGGCTGATATTGTCACAATTTAGAAATATAATGAACAATGAGTTTTGAGCCACATAAAACATTTCTAATAAAATTGATTCAATGTAACTAGAATTTTATCCATACATCAGATAAATTTTATTATTACTAGTTTAATTATTTAAAATGGTAATTTGAGAATGAAAAAGAACATAGATGACCATTTTATCAAAAGTTTTACCAATGTCCATGCTCATATTTATAATATTTATGGATTATAGATTATGAAGCAGTTAAGAGATAACACTAATCTATCCTATCTGCCACAATAAGATCTCTACAGGAGCTAATG